TAAATCATTATTTTTATATTACTCACACGTAATATGAATGCAAGCTCTGGTCTTCATGTTCCCTGTAGGAATGCACATCTGTATGTGTTAATATCATTCCTGTCTGAAGAAGGTATCACTACCTATGTCTTATTCTAGTCCCACCAAAGACCATTAGATCATTCCTGTTGTTCTCTCTCACAGCTGTTGGAGTTTTTCCTTCCTAACCCTTATCCCAATTTGTATGTTATTTATTGCCTGCTTCCACCATCAGACTATCAGCATGATGATGACAGGGTCATCATATTCACAACTCATGTGCCCTACCAAACAATGTGCCTAGTATGTAAATGGTACTTCAAAATACTTGTTGAACGATTTTTCTTTTCTTTTCTTTTTTTTTAATCCTCATCCGAGGACATTTTTCCATTTTTTGTACAGACAGAGTGGGAGGGAGAGAGAGGAAGAGAGAGAGAGAGAAACATCGACGTGAAAGGGACACATAGAGTGGCTGCCACCCACACGACCAACCAGGGCCAGGGACAAACTGCAACCGAGGTACATGCCCTTAGCGGGAACCGAACCCGGGTCTCCCCGGACCGCAGGCGGACGCTCCAACCGCTGAGCCAAACCGGCCAGGGCTGATTTTTATTTTATTTTAATTTTTCTTTATAGATTTTAGAGAGAGAGGAAGGGAGAGGAAGAGAGAGATAGAAACATCGATGAGAGAGAACATGGATTGGCTGCCTCCTGCATGCCCGCCACTGGGGATCGGGCCCACAACCTGGGCATGTGCCCTGACTGGGAATCGAACTGGTGACCTCTTGGTGCTTGAGTCGATGCTTAACCACTGTGCCCTACCAGCCGGGCCTCGTTGAATGTTTTTATTGAAGTTTTCATTGGGAAAACAATGAGGTTTCCATGGTTGTAGAGCCTTAACCACTCTTAAGTATATATGGATTTAAACACAGTGAAGAAAACAATAGGGCTTATAATGCAGTTGAATACACAGAGGCCTTTTGTGTGATGAAACACTCGCATTTATTTGACCATCCACTCTGCCGAAGGTCATGGTGGGATGGGTTAGTCTAACCATCTCTGTGTTCTCAACGTTGTCAGGCCACATCTGCCACAATAGCTGGCCAAGATGAGTGTCACAGCACATGGCAATAGTTTAGGATTTATTTTCTCTCAAATAGTCAACTAATTCCTAGCAGAATTAAATCTATGACTTTAGCCTTATTAGCTAAATTTTGGCCCTCCAAGCTCCTTGGTAAAGGCAGTACAAGGATCTAGGGTCAGAAAGATGTTCTGGGTGCCTGGTTGGCAAATGGCTTAATATGCATGTTCACTGTCTGGTGGTCCCTCTAGACATTTTTGGAGGTCATGCAAAATACAAACATTTCAACTTGAGTGGGAACAAACTGGATTCACTTGCTCCATTTTCGCTCAGGCTGCCTGTGTAGACAGGGTTGAAATGAGAATGATTTGTGAGTTCTAAAAGATCTCTAGAGAAATGCTCATTCGTTTACAAGAGGTGCTATTCTACAATCGTTTCTTGCTTTGTATACTTGAAAACATTCCCAAAGAAACAAAGTTGGATGCAGAAAAAATAATGAGAGAAAAGAAAAATAATACTCTGAATTCTGAACAATTCTACTTTAATAGGTTGATCTGTCTGCCAGCTGGCCACAGCATTGACTACTTGTAATATATACTTTTGGTAGGCCACATTTAGTTCTTGGAACTGTTTATATTAGACTGCAGAAACTTAATTATTCTGAAGTTGGCAGAACTCACTTTGGTTACTTAATACAAAATTGCTTAGTCATCTTTATCCATAGTGTAGACAGCATTGTTTAAGTGTGAAAAATTGGGAAATGCAAATGTGCTCCAAAGAGATCTTAGGTCAGGTAGAAAAACAAGAAGGTGACATTTCGCTCATGATGCTTAGCAGGTGGTTGCCACATGTTTTAATTTGACAGGCGAGGTGACTGCTGAGTTGAAGTCCTTGATTACAAGTCTTTTTCTGTTTTCTTTGTGGATTTTGTCAGCAGTGAAAAAGCTGCTGTTCTGCTTCTTAGACTGGATTCGAATCCTAGAGGTTTCAAGTTTGTGCTTACCAGCAAGAGTGTGAGGAACTCGAGCATCGACCGTCAGAACAGCTTTCTTGCTCTCAGAAACAAACACGATGTCATTTCAAACTGGTTGTCGCAAAGATCCCACTTTTGTCTCTTTTGATTTGAATATGTAGCTTACCGTACTTGAACTATCTGCCTTCCAAAGGGGATACAGATCTGTAGAGCTCCTGCAAGAAGTAGGCAGGCAAAATGAGTTTCTTTCTTGTATTTTTGAGTCTGAAGTGGTGCTGAAGGTCTCCAGTTTTTCCAGGAATGCCCATGGCAACCTCACACTCTTCCTGTGACCTGGGCTGGGGCTCCTAAGAGAGATGGTGAGAAAAGATAAAGTCCTATAGCCAATGGGTAGTGACACCAGGCCTGGGAAGGGTAGGTTCCCAAGCAAACATCAGGAATAGGGCCTTATGTTTCTAATTACTGTGCATGGTCAGAGAGCAAAATCAGGCAACACTTCTTTTTAGACTGATGGAAGCATTTAAATCAGCTCCGAATGTCAGTATTTTCTAATTATGATGGAGGAGTGGCAAGGAATCTCCAAAGGCCTTGGAAATGTGGAGTGTTTCAGGTCAACCATGATTCTCTTAGTTTCTTATTCATCATATGTCTGCGTTGTCCTTCTTTCTCTTTGAACGTCCCTGAACAAACATATTCCCCCAGTTAGCAATGCCTAATACCCTCTTCCAGAAACCAGAATGTCTCTCTAAGACAAGGTTCTTTTCCACTAGAGGAAACCACTCCAAATCACTATATAGAATGGAGCTCCACATCGAACCACCGCCATCCCCAAGATGGTAAGAGCTCAGATGGAGACATGGCATTTTGATCATCTGCTAGTCAGGTTTGTCTGTTTACTAATTAAGTCCATTGAATAAGAATGCCCTGGAATCCATTTCAACTCAACAAATGTGAACCTAACTCTAACTCTAAGATATAACAGTCGGATCTTTGAGGGAATACAATCTACTGGGAAAGACAGCTATGTCCTTACTAATTAAAATACAAGCTATATAGCCCAGCTGGTGTGGGTCAGTGGTTGAGCATTGACCCATGCACCAAGAGATTGCCAGTTTGATTCCTGGTCAGGGTACATGCTCAGGTTGTAGGCCTGATCCCCAGTGGGGGGCATGCAGAAAGTGGCCAATTAACATTCTCTCTCATCAGTGTTTCTATCTCCCTCTCCCTTCCCCTCTCTCCAAAATCAATAAAGAAAAACTATTTAAAAAATAAAAATATAAAATAAAATACAAGCTATAGACCAAGTACTGCAATCGAAATATAATGTGGGTATCAAGACAAACTCATGTCAGTGAATAAATGGTTCAGAGATTCTATAGTCTTGTACTAGACTTAAGCTTATACTGGAAGCCATTCCTAACATGAAGAAAAGTCCAGAAATCCCCAAACTAACAAACTGCTGAAACTACCATCTAAATGATTCATGTGAAAGCAAAGAGGAAGGAGTCTAGGTGCTTTTCAATTTAATATTCAACTGTGGTGTATGTTTAAATCATGTATCTATTATGGATAATGTCCCTTGGTTTGGTTTCGAAGCTTCTTGTCTTAGATTATAAACTCCTAGAAGATTGTCTGTAACTTGCTTCATAATTCCAGAACACAATAAATGCATTTGATGATCGTGATGAATACATGTAAAAAAATTCACTAGGGAGTACTTAGTCCCTAGTCAATAATACTATGTCCTTCATGTACAATAATGTTGCTTTTGACAACATTATTACCTCTAGGACATACCTTTGAATGGTTTTCAACAACGTGAGTTGATATGCATTAGGCTATCTAAACTCTCTCACCTCTCTATAATCCTGTATTAACAACATAGCTGTTCCTGTTTGGTGTGGCTCAGTGGTTGAGCGCTGGCCCTGCACCAAGAGGTTACCGGTTTGATTCCCGGTCAGGGCACATGCCCAGGTTGTGGACCCAATCCCCAGTGGGGGGCATGCAGGAGGTGGCCAATTGATTCTCTCTCTCTGATCGATATTTCTATCTCTCTTTCCCTTTCCTTTCCTCTCTCTAAAATCAAAAAAGAAAAAATATTAAAAAAAGAAAGAAAACAAGATAGCTGACCGGCTCTGGATCTCGTTTTTGATCACTAAATTGGAAGTGTCAGTTGAAAAACCAATCACAAAGAGCAGACTCATAGGTTGCTGATATCTTTATAGCTGAGTAGACCAGAAAGACCAGAAGGTAGTGCACAAGTAAAACTACTATGTTGTAAAATACCATGATCTCTATACCATGTTTATCATTGATCAAGACCCATGACCTTTGATCTTTGGTTCCAGATAAACCACTCTGGCCTTGTTCTGCAATTTGAAGTGTGATCTCCCTCCAGACAGTGTCTCTGTTTCTTCTGTTTTTGCCAAGCATTTCACTTTCTTAGTAGCCAGTACCCAGCCATCGCGAGATTGCCTGATCTCAGACTCTCAACGGGAGAAGAGACAAGTTACTAATGAGGGGATTAAAAGAACATCCATGTTTTGAGATGCTGACCTGTACTACACCTCACATGTTATTGCATCTTTTCTAGGAGACTGTAAGGTCTTTGAAGACAGACTCCATGTCTTATGCACTTTCATGTCTCTGAACTACATCCCATTACTTCACACACTCCGATCCTTTGTGGTGGGCATTGAAAGGCCTCCCAGCAGGGCTGTCCAACAGAAATCTCTGTGATGACATAAATGTTCTCTGTACCGTCTTACAGGGACGCCACTGGACATATGTGGCTAACCAAGCTGAGGAACTGAACAACTGAATTTCTACTTTTATTTTAATTGATTTTCATTGAAATCACCTCCCATGACTAGTGGCTACTGATTGGACAGCATATCTATAGAACTTAAAAACTATGTTTCACTACAGTGCTACACAGATGGCCATTTCACCTCTGCCTGACTAATTCCAAGAACACGGGTTCATACCTTCTCAGCAGCCTACCCATTGTCGGATCGTTCTGTTGGGGCTGGGACCGCTGCCTCCACACATCAGAATTAGCCTCTGTTCTCAGGTATACACTTAGAAAGCACATTTATACTTTCTTTTTTATTTTATTTTAAGCAAAGCTATGCTTTTTTTTTTTTTCTCACACAGACACAGGTTGGTGGAAAATCTCCATTTTTGCCTTAAGGTCTACGTCTCTGCCTTTTACTCTCCTCTAGGGGCCAAGAGAGAAGCAGTAGCCACAGGCAAGTTTTGATTTGGTATTAACCTGTGTCTTTCACTCTGCTGCTCCTTGAGTTTGCCAAAGAACAGTGTTTTTAACTCTTGAAAAGGGCCCAGAAGGAACTGTGTTCCGAATTGTCACTTCTCCTCCCTCTCTAGGAAGCCTTTCAGGTTGGTTTTGAGGTCGGTGTGAACAGCAATCCTAGTTTCCCACCGATGCACTCTGGTTAAGGAGCTGATGTCAAAGTTCTGTATTCTTAGTCCCCTCTCTTTAAATGGAGATAAACCTACTTTTCTTACTTGAGAGGCTCAAACAGTGACAGCCATAGAGTTTTGAACAATATAAAGTGCTCCAAATAAGGTGGATAGCATTTTTTCTTTTTCAATCCTCACCTGTGGATAGTTTTTCATTGATTTTTTTCAGATGGAATAGAAGGGGGATAGGGAAGGGGAGAGAGAGAGAGAGAGAAATATTCATGTGAGAGAGATACATCAACTGGTTGCCTCCCACACAACACTGACCAGGGCTAGGGATCAAACCTGCAACCAAATATATGCCCTTGACTGGGAATCGAAACCCAAGATCCTTTGATCTGCGGGCAGACGCTCTAACCACTAAGCCAAACCAGCCAGGGCAAGGTGGATGACATTTTAAGATGCAGCTACAATTTCTAAATGTGTTGTCTTCCCAAGTGTTGAAGTCAAAATATATAAACACCATCACCTCACAAATCTAAAATGCCTGAAGTGTCCACTAAATAGGACAAAGAAGGCACAGGGACATTGGTTTTCGTCACGTGACGTCTGTCAGTTCTCCGGTTTTGCAAATGGAAAAATATAAATAGAGAAAAAGTACTGATGAAAGGGAAGGAAAAAAGAAACAGGACATACCCTTTCAGCTTTCAGTGTAGAGCTTGGTGTTCTAGATTCCACCGATGGGAGGAAAGAAACAACTGGAGAAGGCAGAGTTGCTCAGGTTGATCTCATTCACTCTTATTTCCACGTTGCTGGTCTTCACAGATGTTCCTTGATGATTTCATGATTTTTTTTTTAAGTAGCACAGATTTTTTGGAACAATATGGTGAAGATTGAGCTCAAGTTAAGTCCAAACTGTATGTTACAATCCACGTGTTTATTTGTTTTTTGAGTCCCAAATGAACCATTCGGTTCAGAAAAGAGTAAAGCAGGTTGATAAATTGAATTTTTTTTTTAAAAGGACAAAAGTTCATTTTCTACAGTCAGAAAGAAAACACAGCCAGATTTACTGTGTAACTACTGCAAATGTGGGTTTATACAACTTTTGAGATTCATATATAATCTATTACTAAGGTCTTTAATTCTTTTTGTAAACACAGATCAGTCAATAAAATACAGAGATGAATCAGCTTGAGTTACATTTTTTATACTCCGAATGATAAAATCTAGAATAAAAGTCTCATGGTGTAAATCAGCTATAATTCCTGCATGCCTATCACGTTTCAATAGTAAAAAGATTTTTTAAAAGACTGTATCTATTAATAAAGGGCCTTAAGAACAAAGTATGTAGAAAGTAAAATATCAATAAACTATTTCAGTACTAGCTAGGACAATCGAAGAGCTGTGGCAAGGTCATATATGATTAATTACCGAAATGAATGATAGATGTTCAAGGAGGGGGCTATCATTCCCGTGCTGGAGCCCCCGGGAAAGGCATCACGAAAGGAGTGGAGTCTGAGCCAGAAATTCATGGCTGGATAGAATATGGACAGTGAAGAGAATACCATTCCCATGGATGGAATGGTATTAATAATGGAAGTGCAGAGGTGAAAAATTATATGACACATTTGAGGGACAATAAAATATTTTTACCTAAGATGCCATAGGATGATCTTCTTGAAAGAAGGTTAATGCTTTCTAAATCAGCAAATTAGAAGAGAATGTACTTAGAAATCAAAGCATTTAGACCTGGAAAGGAGGAAACGTGGGCATGGCAAGTTTGATGCCGCCTTCTTTGCTAGATTAGAGAGTAGGTATAGATCCAGAGTATTGCATGGAGTAGGGTGAAACCTTGGACATTATCTGGTCCAACAATCTCATTTTACAGAAAAGAAAATCTTGAAGAGAGGCAGTAGATCTGCCTCTGAGTCCAGATCATTACCAAGGATTTGCGGAGGAGAGCAATTGAAAAATTGGGGCAAGTGAAGATCATTTGAAGAGCAGAGGTGGGGAATCTGATGGCGTATGTTACACCCAGAAATCACTCCGTATGTGCAATTTGAAGAGAAGCATCACTGAGTTGCAGTGATGACCCAACTAAAATTAACACAAACCTTCAGGAGAGACAAAACATGGTCCCTGACTTTCTTTCCCAAACCCCCGAATAACAATAGATGATGGATGCCCTGGCTGGTTTGGCTCAGCGGTTAGAGCGTCGGCCTGTGGACCAGAAAGGCCCGAGGTCAGTTCCCACTAAGAGCACCTACCTCGGTTGCAGTTTGTCCCCGGTCCTGGTTGGGGTCGTGGGGGTGGCAACCACTCGATGTGTCTCTCTCACATTGATGTTTCTCTCTCTCTTCCTCCCTCTGTCCTTCCCACTTTATCTCAAGATAAATGCAAAAAATGTTCTCGGGTGAAGATAAAAAAAACAAAAGAGACGATGGGTGCGAACCAAGGTGGAAGGTGGGTATGATGGGCCTGGTAGAAGCTTAAAGAAGCAAGAATACCTGAAATATAAGTTCCAGGAAGGCTGGGACCTGTTCAGTCTTGTTCACTGTTGAATCCCCAGTGTCTAGAACAGAACCTAGTACATAATAAATGCTCAGTAAATATTCACTGAATACTGATGGTAGAAATGTTTTTGTGAAGCTTCACTGAGGTAGTTAGACCATGCGATTTACAGTGAATCCATAATGATGACTAGCCAGGGAGGATCTGTCTAATAACGGTTATGAGTGTGGAAAGACTGGGCTTTCTTGCAAAAACAGAGAAATAGTTGTGTTGTGAATGAAGGGATAGTGGGTCAGAGGAGGAAGGCGTGTATTGAGGGAGATGCAATGCAAGAGAAAAGACTCTAACATCTCAGAGAAAAAGTGTGCAGTGATGCTCTCTAAGATATGGCCATCCTAAATAAATCTTTATAAAGGTTTATAAACTTACAAAGAAGTAACAATACAATTATAAGGGCTTAATAGACATTTGATTTGCAAGGTTTCATTTAATTAATGTGTCTGAAACATGATAATTTTATGATTTCTAAATGGGTTTGAAAAGGAAGAGGCATGGGTAACTTTAAAGATCACTTCATGCCTGAGTTTATAGGAAAACCAGAGATCCCTGGCAATAATTTTCCCAGAGCTTCCTAGAGCAACTCTTACTTACTCCCTGAGAGGACAGACAATTCCTAAAGGGAAGTAGTGGCTTAGTCCAAGAATATCCTTGTGGTTAAGAGCACATACGTTGAATTCTGTAAAACAGGGATTATAATAGCTACCTCACAGGTTTATTATGTAGATAAAATAAGATTACATCTTTTAAAATGGCTCAGCAAGCTATCAAGCCACAAAAAGACACGGAGGAAACTTAAATACATATCGCTAAGTGAAAGAAACCAGTCTGAAAAGGCTACCTGCTGAATGATTCCAACTATATGACATTCTGGGAAAGGCCAAGATACAGAAACAGTGACAAGATTGATGGTTACCAAGGGTTGGGGTGGGAGAGGGAGGGAAAGATGAATTAACGAAGGGGCTGTTTCGGGCAGTAAAACTACTCTGACATTATAGTGGTGGACACATGATCGTATGTGTTTAGCAAAACCTATGTAATTTTATAATACAAAATGTGAACCCTAATGTAATCTATGGACTTTAGTTAATAATAACACCAACAATAGCTCATCAATAGTAACAAATGTACCACACTATAGCAAGATGTTAGTAAGAGGCTACCGTAGATTCTAGGACCGCCGTGGCTGCAAACAAGAGAATCTATTGTCTCGCAGATCTGGAAGCTAGCAGCCTGAAATCAGTGTGTCAGCAGACATGCTCCTTCCGAAGACTCTAGGGAAGAACTGACTCCGTGCCTCCCTGCCACCTGCTGCTGACCTCAGGTGCTCCGTACACTCCGTCCTCTCTTGGCATCCTCCCTGTGCCTTCTCATTATCTTCCCTCTGTGTGTGTCTGTCTCTAAATCCAGAGTTCCCCTTTCTATAAAGACACCAGTCATGTGGGATTAGAGCCCATCCTAGTAACTTCATCTTAACTTGACTACATGTGCAAAGACTCCGTTTCCAAATAAGGTCACATTTGGAGGTGCTGGGAGTTAAGATTTCAACATAACAGGGAATACAAATATAGAAGACATTGTGGGCAGAGGTGAAGGAAAGGGAAAATATGGGAATTCTGTACTTTCTGTTTATTTTTCAAAAAAATCTAAAACTACTCGAAGAAATAAAAGTTATTAAATTTTAAAAAGGCACGTAGTACATGTTTAATAAATGTCAGTTATTTTAGAAGCTGGATTAACTTATTCAAAGTCCCTGACACAACAGGTTTTATTCGTGATGTATTTCAAGACCAATATTGGTACTGTCCCCAAATCCCAAAGACTTTTCCCCACCCAGTCACCATTCAGTTTATGATCATTTGAGGGTAGACAGGACTTAACTTTCACCACATGGCTTCTCCCCCTGACAACTGAGTGCTTACTGTGTCATTACCAAAAGGAAGGGCAGTGTGTTAAGGGATTTGAAATCTGTAACACTGACTTATTACTTAATTACGGCAGCATAGGTGTGCCCTGTTTTAGGAGAACCCAATATTTGAGAACCCATATTGAAAAGACAGATCATATATCAGTAGGTAACGTTGCCCTTGCCTTTGTAACGTGTTTTTCTCCTTTACAAAAGGAGTCACATCAGAGGTCTGTCAATAGCCCGACTACAATCCCCCCAGCACAAACATTTAGATTTTCCTCAAACTTTTCAAGAACCCATCTGTCGCGTGCATTGATGTAGACTCCTGTTAGCTGTACTTCTCGTTCAGGCTGCTCTGTCCATTCGTGACCCCCAGGAACCCCACAGTTTACAGAATCTCCCTGCCTTGACATTTCATCACTTCATAGGCTGAGAGTTTGTTTCCTAACCAATGTGGCTGGAAAGAGTTCAGCACTGCGATTACTAGCTGGGGACATGGAAGCTACTGGTCTCAAAAGAGGGAGGGATCACTTACAATTCTACCCAGACATCCTCCCCTTACTAAGAGCGGCGCCAGAGAAGTCCAGAGAAGCTCTGTGTTATGATGGTGTGAGGATGAAGCGAGATCTCCAGCTCCATGCTGGTGTGAGACCAACCGAGAGCCATTTTCACAAACACACACATCTTCTCTCCCCCACACAACACGCACCCCCACAACGGAGAGTCACACCACACGGTACACAGATGTGCTTTCTCTTCTCCCTCAGATATACCCACCACATGTCCACTACGCGTAATGCAGAAAGACACCCGTCTATGTAGATGTATTCTCTCTCCCTCTCATCACCACCCCCCAAGTGCCCCACATATATAATCAGCAGCAATCAAATGAGTAAATAACTAGATAGGTATAGTTTTCTATGGTTAGAAAAGAAAAAAAATGCTTAAGCAATAAAAGGTGAGGAGTGGTGGGAGATGGGCAGGAGAAAAGGAATTTGTGTGGGTAGGGAGCCAGGGAGCTGACCAGCCAAAGTGACCACCTGAGGTTGTCAGTTTCACTTCCCTCCAACGCTGTGCATCTCCGCGGGCTTGGGGATCCTGGGAACAGCTCTTTCCCTGTCCATTAGCACCTCACTAGAGGTGCAGGCCCAGGAACGGAACCCCTGCGGCTCGCCTGACTGCTGAGGATGAAGGAGAAGCAAAGGCTCAGAGGATGCTCTTCAAGCTCCTTGGATAAGTTAGGAAAAGTGAAATTGTTTGCCCCCAGACAGACCTCTCTCTCCCCTTTCTGTTTGCTGTTGCTATAGTTATTTGAGAAGTGGCTTGTACACAACAGAAGACTTGATTGAAGAAAGACAAGGGCAGAGTTTACTCTGTGCTCAGAACAGGAGCCCATCCCAGGGACCCTCAACTCACACCCCACCCCCCATTCTGATTACTATAATGAAATCAGGCTGAAAAATGCCCAGAAATTTCTTTATGGTTGATTAAATACATTTTTATAAAAAGGAAAACAGAGTCCTTTGTAACTAGCAACATCTCAGAAAGTATTCTTGGTAAGAGTAAAACAGAAAAACACTTTCCGATTAAAAAAAAAAACCAAATAGACACCAGAATTTGAATTTCTAAAAGACTTATAAGCAGTATAAATAATACCCTGGAAGAGAAGGAAGGAGAAAAAAAATTCAAACCTTGGATAGTTTTGTTTTCGTTGGCTAAGGTTTTATTTTTGTTTGTGCGGGTTTTTTTTTTTTTTTTTAAGGGGGAGAAGGCTGAAAAACAAGAAAGAAAATCCGACGATTCCTTTAAGAAGGGCTCTGCTTCAACGTGCTAAGGTTTGCTTTCTGCTCCCTCCAACAAAGATGCAGGAGGGATGGCTTCAGGTTTTGCATGGCTCCTTATTTTCTGACGCAGAGCAAACGGCTCGTCTCATGTGCACAGAAAGGGCTGGAAAATATTTTGTGTGATCTGAGTGCAGCAGAGAGTCTAGGATTCCAGAGGAAGTGGAGGCCTCCAGCCCCACACAGGAAACAATCTTCAAGCAGGCCCTAAATGCCAGATTCCAGGCCGAGTTTAACTAACCGCTGACAGCTCTGTAAACAAAGCGAGGACAAAAAGAGCCCGCTTCCCCTATTCTGGTAGTCATTTTGGGTTCGGGGGCTGCAGGGGAATTCTGGAATACTTGACTCCATGGCACACAGACGCAGGGGAAGCAGGCTCCTCCGCTGAAGAGCTGGAAAGGGAGGATCTTTCGGGGATTAAAACCATCACGGAGGAGGTAGGAGAGGATAAAACCTTGGGGGTTACAATGAGCCGGTACTTTTAAGCTCTGGAAACAGCTTGATCCTCACGTCACCGCTTTGCAAAAGGCTGCTGCATTCTGTCGATTCCTGGTGTTTTTGCTGCGGTCTTGATGATCATTCTGATATTAATATTCTTTCAGGATATGCAAATTGTGCCTGGATGCTCGGTTCTTTTAGTTCCCTTTTACGGTTCTCTTCTTTCCTATATATTCCCTCTCTGGCCACTTTTCTCTTTTCACTCCTGTTTTCTTTTCCTCTTTCTTTGTTCACTTTTTCATAACTTTCGGTCTAGGTACGCTTCAGCAAGTTACAAAGAACAAAACCTTTCAGTAGCTTTTAAGTGATCCCATCCATATTTCAAGTCTTCAAAACCTCTCTGTCTCCTGAGGTCTTTTTATTTTTTTTTATTTTTTTATTTTTTTAACTGGAATCCTGGAATCTTACTTACTTGTCTCTAATAGTTTCATGAATGAGAGTGAATTTTCACACATAAAGGACTCGGCTCAGGAGTCAGAAATTGATCACTGGCTACCTCCTCAGTCTCCAAAGGTGTTTCCCTTAAGAGTAAAGAAAAAAATGAGGGAATGAGGAAATGGTGGGGGTGGCTAAGGCAATTCATGGGAGATAATAACTCCGACTCATCCATGATATTGATTCTACCTCCTCCCCTCTGGATCCAGACATCATCTGGTCTCCCTAAACCTGAAACCACGCCATGGATGATTTTGAACGTCGCAGAGAACTTAGGAGGCAAAAGCGGGAAGAGATGCGCCTGGAAGCAGAAAGGTAAGGACCCAGGTTGACAAATACGTTTGCATTGTGTTATTAACAACGTTGGTCTCAGGCCTCTATGGCCATCACTGTGAAGGGCCGAGTGCATTGCACACTAAACTGTTTGCCACAGTAGTGATGGAAAATTTTCCTGTGGGTACTCCAAATTCTCCCTCAGAAAACAAACAAACATCAAGAAAAAGAGAGATTCCAGAAGAATCAAATCGTTGCATGTACTCAGTGCCTTTCACAGTGGAATCTGTAAATGACGAAGGCAATGTGTGGATAAATGTTTCAGATGCAGTTACAATATTAAAATGACATCAAAATGACAAATATTGAATATTGAAAGCACTTAGGAGATGGGAATCTTTAGTCTAAAAAAGTGAAGGCAGTAAGTCCCAGATGGATCTTGTGACACATTTTTATTCTTATTAGAAAAGCAGACAAACGCAATGATCCGCATATTATGGGTTAATAGCCGGCAGGTATGTTACTGTGGAGATCCCAAATCTAGTTGGAAGCTGTTATGCTGTGTGGGGCCTCTGTCATGATGACTTCAAGGGCGGGTTGGGGAAATAAAACCATGACATGTAAAGCAAGGAACATTAATGCCTATTTAAAATTTTTCAACCTCAGAGCAAAGGATAGTGGCATTTAATGTGTTTTAAATCAGATGATCTTTGAGAAAGCAGAGTCGGTCTTCACAGGAAGAAAAATAGTTAACGATGATCTTAAAATCAAATCAATGTTGTAGTACAGTAATTCCGGTGCACACATGAAATGATGGTATAGTAAGATGATCCCTTAGCGATTCTACAGTTGAAAACTAGAATTTACACCTATAACAAAAAGTATGTGGGGCCATAGGCTCTACCTATTTGTATGGAGAATGCAAAAGAAGAAGGTAAAATTATTGCCATTGGTCAGAGTAGGCTGCCATTCATAAAACGTCTATGTACATCCATTCATGGCACTGTGAACTGTACCTGGGCTCTGTGGGTTCGAATTCTAGCTCTGCCACTTCTGAGCCATGTGGGCTCGAAGGAGCAAGTAACGTCTCTCTAAGTCACTGTTGCCCTTATTTATAAATTCACCATAATATCTACATAGTTTGTGTGGTTGTTGTAAAGATTATAGAACTTCATAAATGACCGAGCTCAGTACCTGGCACTTAGTAGGCTTCCATAAATGGTAGTTATTATTTTTTTAATGTTAGTTGTAAACATTGCCATTGGCTAAATAAGTAAGAAACGGAATATCAATATAGCTAGAACTAAACATGAACTCCAAGAGAAGGAAAGGCTGTCATCGTCCTGTGATGAGACAACCAGGTAAAGCTCCTTGGAAGTGGGAAGCCATGGAGGAAGTCATGAGGGTGACAAAGGGTGACAAGGGAGCCATGTAGGTGAGGGAATCACACCAGCAGGAGCCCAGAGGTGGAGCTAAGGATCCAGGTGCAAGAAATCCGTTGAGTGCTTGGGGAAGAGTAAGTTGGACTTGTAGCTCTTGGATGTTTCATTTCAGATAAAGAGCAATAGACAGAGACTTAGCAGGGGAGCTGTGTGTGATGAAAATATGTTAGAAAAAGTTATCTCCAGTGGACTAGAGTGTGGGGATACCCGCACTAGAAGAGTTACTACTGGACATGCAGTAATGAGGGCCTGAATCAGGACAGCGAATATGAAAATGAAGAATGTGAGAGAGTCTTTATAGCAGGAGAATTAGCTAACCTTTCAGGAGAGGGAGAAACTCAAAGACAATTCCAAGGAATCTAAGTCTGAGGAGCTGGAAAGAAGGTCTCTGCATTGTCCTAAGTGGGAAACTGGGCTGCGTTCTATTCTTGGGTGGGCATGGGGTTGGGGGAGTGTTTAATTTCAGCTAGAAACCACATCCAAGTGGAGATTTCCTCCAGGCATTTGGAGATCGAAATTTTCAATGTTTGTTCAGAAAGAGAGAGAAATAAGTCTGGGCACACTTAGTATGGTCATGGCAGTTCAGAAGCTAAAGTCGATGGTAGTGATGGTGACAAGAAAGAAAGTGTAGAGAGAGCAAGAGGCCACAAAGACATGGAAGCCATCAAAGAAGACCAAACAAAATCAAGGAAGTGGGGAGAACCAGTGAGATCACGGGGCACCAGTGTTGAGTGGACACTGTCCCTATAGGAGTGTCCGGCCCCAGTGAAGCCTACCTCTTATTCTCTCCAATGATGTGTTGTTTGGCCTCGGGTTCTCCTGAAAGTCCACACAATATCTTTACCCAACAAATATCTATTAAGCATCATCCAAGTTTCAGTGTCTGTTTTAGGGACAGGAAAAATAATGGGGAGATATAAATAGACATGGTTTCTGCCTTTATGTCCCTCACAGTAAGATAGGAAACCAAAGTACAGCAGGGTGAGAAATCAGACCAGGCCAGAGTGTGGGGACAGAGCTAACAGATGGGAAGGGGGGGGGGGGCGAGGCTAGAGGGACACAGAAATGAGGACAGGAAATTGGTTTCAGGACAGATCAGCATCTTCAGCTTCTTTGCTTTCTACGTGAATAAGGAGACAAGGAATCACTGGGAGAGGAATGGTAGAACTAACTTGCTGAGGTTAGAACCACACTGTGATTAGAGTGAAGAACCAGGTCTCCTCAGAACCAGGATTTTGCCTAAGAATTTTCCACACAGCTGCATAGTTCATTCCTTCCAGTTTCTTGTTTGTTTGTGTGTGTGTGTAAGGATATGTCTTCCTGTCTTCCTTTAATGTCAATCTTAAAAGGAATGTACTCTGCGAAGCTTAGTTAGGTAGGTGCCCTTCATAACATAAAATAAATGTACACAAATTTATCCTAACCTTGTTTAACTTATATTTCTGGCTGTATCAGATCTTTGGGGGTATTCTATTCCATCTGATTTCTTTACTTTTTTGAGAGAAGTACATAAGCACTTTCTTATATTGGTAATAAGTTTACCCTTTCGTGTTTCAAGATGAAACTTCTCATTCTGTTATTCTAGGCTCTTGTATGTACGCTGATGTTTACCTTTTAGGATTTTGTAAAATCTGATCATTTATAGGAATAGTGAAGGTCGGGCTTTGTGGTCCAGCCAACTTTGAGGGGAAAGTTCAGGGTGTGTACAGGAAACAGATGGCCAGACCAGAAGTCAAGGGCTGCCTAAAACTGTGGTTTTGATCTGAAGATAAAGAGCATGTAAGACCTTGGGCAAGTCCATTTTAGCTTTAGACCTTGGCTTTCTCGTCTGTAGTAGGAGTTGGTGTTTTCTTTGGGGGATTTTTACTTTCCTTTTACTTTTGGTATTATCTAAGTTTCTTTTACATCGATCATATATTACTTCATTTAAAACCAATAAAACAATAAGGCAGTTTTTTATTTTGGAAAATATAATTCTATGGTTCTACACATTATGTTTGAGAAGACTTAACTTTCTTTTGGAGTAAGGGAAATAAAGAAAGAACCCAACCCCGATCTGGAGTGGTGGTGGAATGAATTAGCAGAGAGTTGGCCCCAAGGCTCAGAGCTGCAGGTTCATTTTTTCACTATCTCATTCAACACATTTTTATTGGGCATCTACTCTGCTCCAAGGTCTATTTTGAGCACTGAGGACAGAGAAACAGAATGACAAAATTGGGAAGAGTGTCTTAATGCTTTTCAACTGTATATGACAAAGTGATGATCAAGAAACTACATTTTTATATCTTCAAATATGACATGGCCCTGGCTGGTGTGACTCAATTGGTTGAGTGTCATCCCATGCACCAAGAGGTTACTGGTTCGATTCCCAGTCAGGGCACATGGTTTTGGGCTCAATTCCCAGCAGGGGGTGTGCAGGAGGAAGCTAGCTAATCTTTGTTTTACTTTCTCTCTCTCCTTCTCCCTTCCTCTTTCTAAAATCTATCTGTCTGTCTATCTGTCTGTCTATCTATCTACCTACCTACCTACCTACCTACCATGTACCCTAATATTAATATTTATCAAAGATAATTTATGCCCTTTGTTTTCTGTACCCCTGTAGATGGTGTGAGGGAAAACAGTTTGTGATTTTTCATCTGTTACCCACAAAGTTTTTCCAAATAAAAATGCCCTGTTATTTTTATTATTATTATTATTAATCCTCACCTGAGGACATTTTTCTATTTATCATCAAACAGAGTAGGAGGGAGGGACAGAGAGGAAGGGAAAGAGAGACAAATAATAATGTGAGAGAGACACATAGACTGGTTGCCTCCTACCCGACCCGACCAGGGCCAGGGACAAACCACAACTGAAGTACGTGCCCTTGATCGGAATCGAACCCAAGACTCATATTGGGCTGATGCTCTAAATGCTGAGCCAAATCAGCCAGGGCTGCCCTGTTATTTTAATTAGTTGTTATTGAGTTTGACTAGCAGGTGGAGTTCTGTTGTGCAACGATAAATAATTTAAAACTTGTACTCTCACCAGATGTTATAACCACAAATTAAAACAAGCCAGACTCTCATACATTATATTTCTCAGAAACAGATCTTTGTGCCATGCTAGCCTTCATGTACTTGGGCCTGGCCTTTACTTACCACATCACGGCTGCCCAGGGACTGGTATATGTGCACCTCATCCCAAGGGTTGCAGTCCAGTCCATTTCAAATCATCCAGCTTCCCGTAACCTAACTGCGATCCTAGGTAATAAAAATAGGATTTCCTTCTCTGTCCTGCCGCTTAGCCTGTGCATCCTTCTGCTATTCACCCTGTCCTCATCCTTCCCACGGAGCCCTTCAGATGAGGTCTTTAGATTGGTACGAAGTACTTCAAAGTCATCCAAAAAAAGGATTGAATATCTGCAAAGTATAAGGCACTAGAACCAGTCCAGGCAATGTCTCAATAGTCACCAAGCTCATCTCCTAGGTGGACTGGGAACGTTGGAGCCATGATTTCCCACCTTTTTCATCTCACGGCACACATTAACTAGTGACTAAAATTCTGCGGCACACCGAAAAATACATATTGTTTGTGGGTCTGACAAAAAAGTAGGTGTAA